GGGGCGGGCCTACCAGTCAAGCCTGCTCTCAGTAGTTGCTGAAGAGCTGGTTTTCGACTACGGCTACAACGAAGTGTTGGTCCAGATTGGAGTAAGCTTCGGTTGCGTCGAAATGCTGTAATGTGACCAAGTACATTTGATTAACGGGGCATATGCGCCCCGTGTACAATATGAAAATGCCAACAAGAACTCGCAATCCGTTGAGCATGTGTTCCCTCAGGTTGTTCCGTCGGCGGGATCACGTGTCTTCATATTTTAGCCTGTTCACGATGCAAAAGCGCATTTCCCGCCTAATATGGGGTTCATCCAAGGAAGAGCGGGAACCAGTCTATAAAAGGACGATTTCTTCGCCCTTTTACAAAGATTTAACTGATCTGGTGAAACAAAGAAAATACAGTACGATATGTCATTTTTTTTTAGCCAAGTGACATTTATATACTGGATTAACCACTTTTTTGCAACAGCATAAAAGGGAGAGTCAGACCTTGCAAAAAACGTACTTACAGTTCCCTCCGGGTTATGCTCACAACCGATGTAAACCACCCCCGGAGGTGGCTTAGATCGGATGTGAGCATGCGCAGCTTTGTGTCAGCAATTCCCTCGTTCCCTCGTTCCCTCCCGCTCCCTCCAACACTTGGCCGATGGCGAAGGCACTTTTCATTTTTAGACAATTGTTCGCCACCACACGTACGTAACCCGCTCTGCTAATTAGGCACGATGTTTTTTTAATCTAAACGACAGTGTATGTGTCGATCGCTACCATACACACCTGAAGTCTTCAGTGAAGGTCACCGACAGTACAATGATCGAAACTGAGGACACAGCAAATCGGAACACTCACCTTGCCCAAGATGACTACGGCATCATCGTAGCTTGGATGGAAGCTCCCAAAACCTTTGCGGCTATTCACGGCTCGAGTGACAAAACCAAAATCAGTGGGCAAACCGAAGGTCAAGAAAATTGACGCCTTTAACGGCCTGGCGAAGCACCTCATTGGGAACACTAAAAATGAAGCGCTTCGTGAAGTGGAGCTTACCGGCCAGAATATGCAGCAGCGTTGGAGAACCTACATGTGTCGCTTCAAGAAGACGTTGAACGCCAACCACACCGAAACGGGGTTGGACATTACCCGACGCGAGCTTGCTCGAGGAATGCCCATTCCTCAAAAATTGGAGCAGATGTGCCCTTACTACAGTAGAATGAAAGTTCTAATTGACCTAAAGCCAAACATTGCGCCCTCCGCTACACTGGAGCTTGGTGTATCTGAATCGGATGGAAGCAAAGACGTCGAGTTTTCTGACCTTGATGGCGAAGTTGGAAGGTCTGGCGAATGGAGCGACTGTGGGCTGACGTTTCTCCTCTGGCTCAGTCTACTTTTATAGCGAACGCCGCGCCTGCGTCCCCTATTTCATCCGACGTGAGCACGATCCAAACAGCAACTGAGATGTCTTCAGCTACACATGATCGCGTGGTACGTCGCGGAATGAGCCAAACGCTGCAGTGCGGATATGACAGGGAAGCTACTTCCTTCGAAGCTTCGGCAAATACTGTGGAATCGCAATAGGCTTCATCCGACGCGATGTCTACAGGAGATACTCAGCAGCGACGTTCAGCTGCACGCACCGGAACAGCGCCAGGAGGATCAGGTAATAAACGGGAGCGTGTCGCTCCAGCTGAAAAACTTAAGTGCAAGAGCTCCAAAACGGAAGGAAGGAAGCAAAACAAAAGCTCTACGACGGCTTCGGATACGCGGATGTCTCTCTCGACAGCTTATGCGCGTAACGCAGAAGCAAAAGTCGACTATCTGAACAAAAAGCTCGTCGAGGAGCGCCGCCAGTGAAACGCGAAACAAGACGCGGAAAAGAAATAACAGGAAGAAGCGACTGAGCTTCGGGAACGTGAATATGACGAACGACGTATGGCTTAACTGGGTTATTGAAATGCGCTGAAACAAAGCCCTCTGTAAGAAAAACCAGTTATGTCTTACATTCTTCTGGTAGTGCTGAATCCGTTTATTAATCGTTTTATCTTTGTGTATTATACAAGTGAGACGACCGAAAGTCTACTTATCACGACTGCCCGATTTGAACCAGAGTTTCATGCTAATCGCTCTGAGATGGCGGCAACCATGTACCTGCACAGGTTTCGCCGGCGAAATCGATTATCCATTCGGCGCATCACTCACCACAGCACCAAGAAACGGATCGAAATGGAGGTAATTCGTCTTGATATTGTATAAACGCTCAATTATTTTTGATAGTTCTAATATATAATTGTTTAACGTATTTTGTTTTTAGAAAATTGCCGACGAGTTTTCTAAAACGATTCAATACAGTTTAGAGAAATCTAGTGAGGTATCCCACATTGTTGGCTCTGCTATGTTTGCCTCTGTTTTCAACATGGATCAATCGGCGGTCTACATCGACATGAACCCCAACACGACGATCGACTTCGTAGGTGCCAAACATATCGACGTCGTCCAAGGTAAAACATTTCTCTGTATTTATTTTCTACTTTATTATTTTAGTATGACCTAATCTTTATTTGCTTTTGTGAAGGAATGACGGAAAATGCTTTACATCTTTTGCTTTTCTCTGTTCGTCCGCCATCGGGGAGAAGCTCCAACCGATGATTATCTTTGCTGGGTCTTCATTTCTACCGTTAAGGAGGACAAGCAACAAAATTCGTTGCATCACCACCAAGCTCTTCTGACCGTTCATAAATAAAACTTATTGTGACGAATCGCGCATGCCATATTGGATTGACGAGGTGAGTTGCAAATTATTTTTTTTCATACTGCTTAAGTTCTAATAATTTTTTGTAACTTTTTTTTTTATCTAAGTCTGGAATTCCACCGTATCTGGCACTCAAGTTCTTCTTGTAGACAGCCTATGAACTTTCAAGATGGACTCTGTAAGACAGAAATTAGAAGAAGAATGCTGTACCAAAGTCGGTTCATCCCGATTGGAATCACGGACACGGCGCAACCTATGGATGTTTCTGTCATGCGAGTGTTTATGAAGCGATGCCGTGAGCTTTATGTAGCTCACCACATCGACAACGACTTTACCCCGACCCAGTCGCCCGCCGCGACCTCATCACCCGCATCGTTGTTCAAGCTTGGGATGGAGTTCCCGTTAAACCATACAGAGGGTTTTAATTCATGCAGGTATTGTTCCTTTGGACCACGGGAGAGCAACGGTCGTTTTGGAGTAGCTAAACCTGTTAAATATTTGTTTTCTTTTTTCTTTCCTGCTCTTCATCAATGCTCTACTAAAAAAACGGTTTGCAATTATAAGATGGAAGTTGGTTGGAAGAAGGGATGAAAATTTAATGAACTTGAATGTTTTACGTGTGGTTGCATGAGATTTAGTTGTTTCAAGAAACATGTTTATTCCGGTATACAATTTCATTCTCATAGTATCTTCGATCATTTGCTACGAGATATGATTTTAAAACAGTACCCTTTGGTACTGTAAATCACGAAAATTCGTTGTGATAAAAATGACATTAGCATTTTCTTCGCCACCACTGATTGCCACCCACCTCGTCAACTTCAAAAAATGACAACTCACAACTTCAATACACTAAAGTGTAAGCTCGAAGTAATAAAAGCCAATAAAAAACGACACTTCCTATGAAGAAAATTCAGTATTGATTTAATGATGTACAGCTTTTCCTGGTGGGTAACTTGGCACCTAAATCTCAGCAGTAATTCTTACCACACTCCTTAGCCTGTTGCCACACTCCACCGCTGTCGGCGTTACCATCGTTTTTTATAGGCTAGTGACATTTGGAACGTACATGGTGACAAAATGAACTAGAAATTTGGTATTTTGAAGTTGAAAAGGTGTAAAAGTACAAGAATCAGCCATCCAAACCACAAGGTCCTGTATCATACTCTACACGCAAATTGTCATAAGCATATTTAATTGCAGAGATGATACAATACCTATGGATATAAAAAGTCCAACTTCAATGGTATGATCTGATGAGCAGCCACAGTATGTTGGATTTTGTGTCTCTTGGTTTTACTCTGTAGTGTATTGTATAGTTAAGGCGAGAGGCTTGCGCAAGGGTATACTTTTTTACACTTTTGTGGTCAATGGGGTATTCAGTGCTCGGAAAATATTATTCAATATGAATAGTACTTATATTTATTAAATGGAATAATTAACTATTGAATAGTAAGCAAGCTAAATACTATTCCTCGCGAACACAATATACCACTATACTATTATGTGCCGATTCGGTGAGTGACCGAAGGTCACATAGCCGTAGTTGGATGGCCTAGAGTTCCGTGACTTGTAACCACCTAGGAAATGTCTTTTGCACGAACTTTTGACCTTCATCACGTACTTTCAACCCTTCAAACTACCGTAAAACGCTAAAGAATGAGCGCTGCACGTAACCACGACATCTGTCGCTTTTTCTTCGCCGTCTCTGCGGACCACTACCACATGTGCTACTACTGTGGGACGCAGCGTAAGTAGCTCCCATTAAGTGGCTACGCCAATCTGGCGAGCCATCTCAAGGACAAACACCCTGGCTACGTTGCTGACTACGAATCCCACCAGAGCAGACAGGCTGGATCGCTCACAACGTTTGGATTTGCCAATCCAGCTGCCTCGAACATGTATCAGTGGATTGAGTGGATCGCCTCCCGCAACATGCCTTTGAGCGAGGTTGACGATCCACTCACAAGAAGCATGTCCAAGCTAAAGGCAGTCTGCTCAAAGACTCTCAAGCGCTACATGTCATTGCTTATGACGGCTGTCGAGGCCCAGATTAGTGCAGAGATGCCAGGCCTGTATGGCTATAAGTCCACGCTCTATCTAGAGAATTGCGTGGCTCTTTACGGTGTGTATTGGCAGAAGGGGCAGCTCAAGCTTGTGCTACTTGCTATTGCACCAATGGAGGAAGGTGACCTGACAGCCCACCGCCTTTATCAAGAAAATCAGCCAAATTTTCCAACTATCAGAACCGAGCCTATCGTTTCTGATTGGTGATAATTGCGCTACCAACCAAGCTATTGCGATACTCCTCAACGTCCCCCTAATTGGCTGTGCCTCTCACCGCTTTAATCTGGCTGTGAACTCGTATTTGAGCTACTACAAGACGGAAGTTGAAGCAGTGAGCGCGCTTATGGCAGCGCTGCGCACGATCAATTACCGCGCCGCTTTGCTTAAGTACACGTCCCTGTCCCCTAGAAGACCGAACGCGACACGGTGGAGCTCCACCGTCGAGATGGTGGCTCGCAATGTGCGTTGCCGTGACGAAATCAAGCGGGTTGATATCGTCTTCGACCTCGCCCCCAAGGCAACAACGCACCGGCGGATCGAAGCTCTACAGGAGGACCTACGCGACTTCCAAAGCGTCACCCTTAAGCTACAGCTAGAGGCCCTAACACTCGCAGACGTTCGCGTGTTGTTCGACTCCGTCGCGGAGCACTTCCCATCTACGAAGGCCAAGCTGAGTGCTACTGCTCCAATTGTCCATTCTCCTGCTTTTGAGGTGGCGACGGTGAAGGTACTATAAATATATTTTTACTATTTCGTTATAATATTAATGCTGTTATTATGATATTTTTTTTTGTTAATAGGTAATTAACGGAGAGGTGGGACGGCTGACGTCCAGTGAGTGCAAGGCCATCAAGCACTTCGAGGTGGCGGCGGCACCAGCGAGCTCAGGCTCGAAGCGCAAGCAGCGGGACGACGAAGAGGCGGAAGGGGACTTTGCGACATCCGGGTTGCACGCCAGGAACGCGAGCGGGTCCCCGCTGACAGCGGCATTGTACACGGAGCTCCTGAAGAAGCTTCCGACTACCAGCAACCGTTGTGAAAGGCTTTTCTCCCAAACTAAGCTGGTTCTGACTCCCCAGAGAGCCTTGTTGTTGCCGGTAAACTTCGAAATTCTGATGTTCTTACGCGCTAACAGAAATTAATGGAATGTGTCTAACATGCCGGGCGTGTACGACAGATATGAGCCTGTTGCTACGTCTTTTAGAACGGTAATGGACTCAAGACTTTCATTCAATACATTGTGTGTTTGCAATGGCTATCTATTGCGTGTGTGAATATGTAATAACTTTGTATGGAGCCTGGAAGCAGGCCGTACAACATAGTACTGTATTTACCGAGCACTGGGGGTATTCTGCCCTCTTTGAAGGATGTATTCTCGAGTACCACTCGTGCCACTTACGAAAAGGGGCAAAATGTCTCTTTGATCATTTTTGTGTGTGGACGAGACGGGGATCATTGTGTTTATTTGAACTATAAGGTTTCACGGAAGATTTGGAGTAGGAGGAATTTTGCCTCCTTTGACTCCCTGATGACATTGACCTTCTATAGTATAATAATATAGCCTGGCCACAAGCGTTTGCCCCGAAAGGTTAAAATAATAGACATGTCTCAAGCGAATACTACCCCTTTTGTGAATCTCAAAGCTAGGCCACCTTTGTTTATATTCTTAAAATACCGCATTTTACACCCTTTTGCGTTTAGGGGTATTTGGTTTGAACTGCGTCTTCTATCGTATATGTACAAACGCTAACGCTGTGAATTCCGACAAAAACCTGCTGATCACGGTCGATTCGAAACATGGGTTAACACATCGAATACATATCAGGAAAAATCGTTGTTGAGGTAAATAATTAAATTCGGGGTTCGCCCGGAACACCAAGGTCGTTTCATTGAAAACTCGTGAGCATACTTTTAAAACAAGAAATATCCTTCGGAGCAACTAATCAGTCGACCGTAGTTAGTTACCGTAATAAAACTGTTGATTAGGCCACATATGCCAAACGGGTTGATGTTGTTTGGAGTCATCCATCTTCACCAAATGTTGCGTCGTTGATTTAACAACAATGTACAGCCCTTGTGGTGTTGATTGTCCCGCTTCATCATGGATTGCGATATGTTTGGGAATTCTTTGCAGACAGC